TATAGTCTAGTCTATAGTCTAGTCTATAGTCCTATTCATATCTAGTCTATAGTCTAGTCTATAGTCTGTCTATAGTCTAGTCTATGTCTAGTCTATAGTCTAGTCTATGGCCTAGTCTATGTCTAGTCTATAGTCTAGTCTATAGTCTGTCTATAGTCTAGTCTATAGTCTAGTCTATAGTCTAGTCTATAGTCTAGTCTATAGTCCTAGTCTATAGTCTAGTCTATAGTCTAGTCTATAGTCTAGTCTATAGTCTTGTCTATAGTCTAGTCTATAGTCTAGTCTATAGTCTAGTCTATAGTCTAGTCTATAGTCTAGTCTATAGTCTAGTCTATAGTCTAGTCTATAGTCTAGTCTATAGTCTAGTCTATAGTCTAGTCTATAGTCTAGTCTATATCTAGTCTATAGTCTAGTCTATAGTCTAGTCTATAGTCTAGTCTAATAGTCTAGTCTATAGTCTAGTCTATAGTCTAGTCTAGTATAGTCTATCAGTCTAGTCTATAGTCTAGTCTAGTCTAGTCTATAGTCTAGTCTATAGTCTAGTCTATAGCCTAGTCTTTAGTCTACTCTTTAATCTAGCCTATTGTTTGGCTTATAGTCTGTAATGTATTCACTTTTTTTAAAACTTCCCAGCCCTTAGAGGGTTAACAATTACACATTTTTTTGTCTTTCGATAAAAACAAACAAACTATAATTACAATCATTATAAAAATATTTATGTGTATATTATTATCAATCGTCTCTATTAAAAAAATTTACATTTCATTACATGTGTTTAATTGAAAATTATTTAATTAAATAAATGTTCAAAACGTTAAATTTAATTTTCAAATAAATTTTTGTAATTTTTTATCATTTAAAAAGATTAAAAGAAAAAAACAAATTCCTCATAAAGAAAATAAAGTTATTAAAAATATTATAATGGATTTTAGAAGTCATATATTTATTTAATTATTTGTATTACGAAGAGATTAAAAATCAAAGGGTGAATGCATTTAATGATAGAAATTTCCTACTTTTTTAAAGTTTCTCTTAAAAAAGTTTCCGTTTTAGGGAAGAGATCTAATTTGCTCCACGTGTGGCACGAACCCCTTTTTTAAATTTTTATAGACGACAGTGGAAAGCTGCTCTGATTTAGGTGCTTTTAATTGTTTATATGGGTACTTTTATTATTACACCTTTTATGTTTTATTTTTAAACCATTTAATTTTTACCAAAACCTTAACTCAAGTTAATAACATGTTAGTTTTCATATAATATTAACAAATTGCTTACAAAGTTACAAAATTTAAAACATGCAAATGTTATTAACAAAACAAAAATCACTACTTACAAACTAAAATACTCAAAAAAAAAAAAAAAAAAAAGAATACGAATCTAAAATAAAATAATAAAGAAAACCAACGAACCAACTATGTATAAGTATAGCAGCAACCAGGAAATATAAAATAAAACAAATATATAAAATGTTGTATGTTGTACGAGTGTAAAAACACCAGAAAACAAACAAATCAAAAGACACAACTAATCCAGCGACACATAAACAGAGATGAATGATAAAATGTGGAACATGTGTGTGCGTCATTGTTTCATTGTCACACAGATACACTAGAGAGATATATTTATGTACGATTCAAGATACAGATACACGCAGATTCTTCGCAACATTTCGAAAATGCCTCTATAGAGTGGAAAAACTATAAAGCGATTTGTTTTAAATGTTCAACTACAACATAATAATGAACAAACTACTATGTGGAGTGAGTGGTAGTAGAGTACAGTGGGTCTGGGAGGAAGAAAAATGTTGGTAAAAAATATTTGTAACCATCTAACAATGTCTATAGTCTAATCTATAGTCCTAGTCTAAAGTCCTAGTCTAGTCTATGGCCTAGTCTAAGTATAGTATATAGTTCAAAGTCTGGTATATAGTTTAGTCTATAGTGTAGTCTATAGTCTAGTCTATAGTCTAGGCTATAGTCTAGTCTATAGTCTAGTCTATAGTCCAGTCTATAGTCTAGTCTATAGTCTGGTCTATAGTCCAGTCTGATAGTCTAGTCTATATAGTCTAGTCATAGTCTTAGTCTATAGTCTAGTCATAGTCTAGTCTAGTCTATAGTCTAGTCTATAGTCGAGTCTATAGTCTAGTCTATAGTCTAGTCTATAGTCTAGTCTATAGTCTAGTTATAGTCTAGTCTATAGTCTAGTCTATAGTCTAGTCTATAGTCTAGTCTATAGTCTAGTCTATAGTCTAGTCTATAGTCTAGTCTATAGTCTAGTCTATAGTCTAGTCTATAGTCTAGTCTATAGTCTAGTCTATAGTCTAGTCTATAGTCTAGTCTATAGTTAGTCTATAGTCTAGTCTATAGTCTAGTCTATAGTCTAGTCTATAGTCTAGTCTAAAGTCTAGTCTATAGTCTAGTCTATAGTTAGTCTAAGTCTAGCTAAGTCTAGTCTATAGTCTAGTCTATAGTCTAGTCTATAGTCTAGTCTATATGTCTAGTCTATAGTCTAGTCTATAGTCTAGTCTATAGTTAGTCTATAGTCTAGTCTATAGTCTAGTCTATAGTCTAGTCTATAGTCTAGTCTATCTAGTCTAAGTCTAGTCTATAGTCTAAGTCTAGTCTATAGTCTAGTCTATAGTCTAGTCTATAGTCTAGTCTATAGTCTAGTCTATAGTCTAGTCATAGTATAGTCTATAGTCTAGGCTATAGTCTCCCAGTCTATAGTCTAGTCTATAGTCTAGTCTATAGTCTAGTCTATAGTCTAGTCTATAGTCTAGTCTATAGTCTAGTCTATAGTCTAGTCTATAGTCTAGTCTATAGTCTAGTCTATAGTCTAGTCTATAGTCTAGTCTATAGTCTAGTCTAATAGTCTAGTCTAATAGTCTAGTCTATAGTCTAGTCTATGTCTATCTATAGTCTAGTCTATAGTCTAGTCCTATAGTCTAGTCTATATCTAGTCTATAGTCTAGTCTATAGTCTAGTCTAGTCTAGTCTATAGTCTAGTCTATAGTATAGTCGTCTTATAGTCTAGTCTATAGTCTAGTCTATAGTCTAGTCTATAGTCTAGTCTATAGTCTAGTCTATAGTCTAGTCTATAGTCTAGTCTATAGTCTAGTCTTAGTCTAGTCTAGTCTAGTCTAGTCTAGTCTATAGTCTAGTCTATAGTCTAGTCTATAGTCTAGTCTATATTCTAATCTATAGTCTAGTTTATAGTCTAGTCTAAAGTGTAGTCTAAAGTCTAGTGAAAAGTGTAGTCTATAGCCTAGTCTATAGTTTAGTCTATAGTGTAGTCTATAGCTTAGTCTATAGTCTAGTCTATAGTCTAGTCTATAGTCTAGTCTATAGTCTAGTCTATAGTCTAGTCTATAGTCTAGTCTATAGTCTAGTCTATAGTCCTAGTCTATAGTCTAGTCTATAGTCTAGTCTATAGTCTAGTCTATAGTCTAGTCTATTGTCTAGTCTATTGTCTAGTCTATAGTCTACTCTATAGTCTAGTCTATAGTCTAGTCTATAGTCTAGTCTATAGTCTAGTCTATAGTCTAGTATATAGTCTAGTCTATAGTCTAGTCTAGTCTAGTCTAGTCTATAAACTAGTCTATAAGCTAGTCTATAATCTAGTCTATAGTCTTGTCTGATCTACGTATATTCTAGTGAAAAGTCTGAACTATAGTCTAGTTGAACAGGCCCACTGTGCCTTACTGTGCGATAAAGAAATAAACAACGACAACACACACACATATAGAAAACTGTCACCATGATAAAGGAAAAACCAAAATAATAACAAATAAATAATTTAAAGTTTTTTTAAGTGAACTTTTGAGAATTGTGACGATGAGCAATTTTT